ATACATCGTTTTGTACCCGTTTCCCTTATCTCACACAAAATTAAGGCCTGTTTTGTACATCAACCTGACTTTCATCTTTGAAAAAAAAAAAAAAAGCAAAGCATTTACAGCCAAATCCTGTGCAACTTTGAACTGAATGCTTCCACCTTGACCCCAACAAAACACAGTCAGCTTGCTTTGTTTCCATGGCTCACCAAAGCAAGAGCCTCTAGTTTTTGTTCCAAGTAATCCTTAAACACGGACGATATGCCTATTGTCACATCTTCTGCAGAAGAAAAAGCAATATAGATTGTAGGGGGAAAAAAAAGGTATCACAGTCTTACTTCAAAACAAAGCAAAAGCCTCTATTTTCTCTTGGGCATAACGCACTGCCACTGCTACTTTTTTGAAAACACACACACAAAAACCTCAGCTGCTTCTAAGAACGCGCCGGTCTCGCAAAACAGTTAATGAACAGTGTTTATACTGGCTCTTATCTTGGGATCCTCTCAAATTGCTCATTTAGCCACCAAATCACAGCGTGAAAGCGATGCAAGCTGCAAAGGGTGCACGGGGGAAGAAAGGGAAGCGTTTTGTTGCTTTTAAGCCAAAAGCTTTTCTGAAGTCCCTTTTCCTGAACTGCAGTGTTGCTGGTCCCAGAAGCAATGTGCCCAAAGTCACGCCTGGAGGTAGAGAATTCACCTGTCTGTAAAACAGAGCCCGTCAAACCCCAACACAGCGACAGGAACACACGGCCTCTGTGCGCAGAAGTTCTCAGTGTTTTCGCAGTATTTTTTATCTACACAGCACTAAAGAAACAAGAATTAACGTTACCTCTTTTCCGATAAGCTTCACCCATACTTTGTCTCCAACATCTACTATCTCTGAGGGTTTATCCACGCGGCAGGAGGACATGTGAGTCTTATGGACAAGGCCTGGTCGTGGTTTTGGAAGAGAAGAAAGGGAAAAAATAAAGACAAGTCTCCAGTGAATCTCAGTTTTGTCCCCTAGGACAGCAGTCTCCAAAGTGGGGTGGATGCAAGACAATCCTTTGGGGTGTGGGAAGAAAATATTTTTGTACCATTAATAAATAAAATAATAAAAAAATTAATAGTCCTTACTTCAGCTTTAGCTCATCCTTTTTTAACGTCCATTTTTGAGTCTGTTTTACAATGTACATAACATTAGTACAGTAGTACATGTATATAATTTATAATTAAATATACATATATCGGGGGGGCATGTGCTCAGAAGTTTTTTTAACTGCTAGGGTTCACTGATTGTAACTGATCGTGCACTGGGGGTGCACAATAAAAAACATTCGGAGGCCACTGCTCTGGGAGACAGGGAACACGTCCAGTGGTTGCCCTAAGCAAAACTAACCATTTCCTTCCTCCAGTACACTGGGCAGGTGAGACTCAACTAATTGCATCAATCAAACATATAAAAGCTCATCAAGATCTGCTTCAAATTAGCTCAGAGAAGCAGGCCCCCAAAGCAACGTCTTTGTACTCAAAATATCAGGCGTCCATACGGAAAACTGTAGCAGGCACTAACACCTCTCCCTTCCCGCCTCTCCTCTGAGGCCGCCCCAAGCGCCGGAGAATAAAGAGCCCATTTCACACATCAGCAACACAATACTTTGCTGGCAAAGTCAAAAGCATGAACCACCAAGGCTGCCCTGATCTCCTACGCTTGCAAGGTCACGCAGCCCCAAAACCGTATTTTTAATTTGCACGAATGACACGTGGGCTCCAGGGTTATACAAGGGAGAATAAATATGGAAACACACCTTGCTGTCCAGGCTCATATTTCAGGGCCCGTTCGCATCTCAAAGCGACTTCCCTCCAGCAGCCACACTTCTGTCCAAAAACTTTTATTAGAACTGGCACTACAGTGACCGGGCACTTCAAGAGGAGAGTGGAGTAGGGGTTATTTGTGGGCCTACCAGCACCTGATAGAACATCCACCGCAAGCTGCTTCGCTTGTAAAATGAGTTTGTCTGACTTTGCAAGTTTCCCACAAACGTAGACAGAGCTTTAAGTCAACTTCTCTGGTTTATTTTCTATTTGAGCTTTATGTCAGTCTGTTTTTACTTAATTCATTCACATGGGTCATAAAAGAAACAAATTGGGCAAACTAATTGTAGAAAGGTTCTATAGTTTGTCCAACACCTTAAAATGATTCTCTAAAATACCCTGAAGTTACCAAAAAGCCCTCTGAATCGTTTTGGTATTCACGCAAACATAGCATCATATTCTAAATACTTTCTGAGAACCTCAGTTTCTTCCTAATTTAGAAAATAAAACTTTTTCTGAGCTGTTTTTAAGAGCTAGCAAGCCTTTAACTCCAAGGACGACTGCTTGGCTCAAACATGCCGACATGAAACTAAATCTGAACAAAATAAGAGAAACAAACCTTGTTTCCTGCAGCCTGGAATTTTTATAAAGGCCCCATATTCCGTCACTGTAGCAACCTGTGAAGAAAATTGATACAGCACCTAATGTAAAGCCCTTCACAAAACACCTGTTTGCAAACCACAGGTTAGAATACGCACAAGAAGCCTACACGGCTCTCCTGCTTTCCTTCAGCCTTAGGCTTCAAGGCTGCTTAGGCACTGCAATGCTTGGGAACTCTGGAGCAGGTGTGGTCAGCCAAGCACTCCTACGTTATTCAGATAAGCAACCTATAAGTGTATGTGTGTATATCTATACACATGTACACAAACACACAGAAACACAAACGGAGGTGTGTATATACATGGAACAGAACTGTCAGCTACCCAAACTGAACTAAGCAGCGCCTAAAACAACAAAATAGAGAGATAAAGAAGGACGCCACAGGCCCGAACGTCTGCCAGGGCCGCAGGCATCAGCGCCACACACCTCGCCCTGGAAGATGGCGTAGAGCTCGGGCAGCACCTCCATCGCCGCGGGCCTCCCAGGTCCAGGCGAGAGACGCTCCGAGGGTGCCGGGCCAGCTGCGTTCACCCCGGGCTGCTGCACATCCACCGCCCGAGTTCAGGGAGACGCCTTGAAAAAGAAATAGTTCATTACCACAGGAAGCCACCTGCGGACAGGCCCATGAGCAGGCAACAGCCGTGACTTCACCTTGCCTCAGGCTGCAACCCGCACCGACCCCGAGCGCCCCGCGGGGCCGCTCAGGGGGCGCCCCGACGCTCTCTGCCCTCGCACCGCAGGGTTCAGCGGCTCACAGGGGCCGAGGCTGCGGGGGAGCGGCTGGGGGGGGGCCG